AATGAAAACGAACGTTCGTTTTAAACATCTTAACAAAATCTGACACGTCTTTCTCAATCAAGATTTGGAGAGATTGTCGCAGATCATTCATAGTTCAAACTGAGGATACCGCCATCTAAGACACTCTCGTCTATGAGCACCACATCGCATGTAAGGGCCTATATTGAGTTTTGTCCACCATACAGAAAACGCGTTTTTTTTTGAGCCGTGCGCATAAGCAGAACGTCTCTAGTTTGCGATGTCCCGTGCATTCCAAGCATTACAACAGTGGTGCAATAAGACACCGGTTACTGTATTACAGAAGGGAATATTCCTCTCCACGCGTAAATCTGCGTCAACCTTGTTCCTCCATGATGCATGCTGGCCTTCTGGTCAATGTCTGGCGTGTTCAGCTTCCAAGCGAGAAGCTCCTAGGAGTAAACGGTTTAGGCTCAATCAGTTTGCCTAAGAGGGCCAATCTTCTTTTCTTAATCTCCATATTCATAAAGGTTACCTTGTCAGGAACAGAATAGCCATTCCTTACGTGGTCCTGTCATTCAGCCCTACCTATAGGTCGAAGCCAACTCAGCTGCACGCAGTCAAACCGTCGTTTTTCCTCCTTACAACAACACTGACCTGACAGAGGCAAAGTAGAAATGGATTTTTATAGGAAGAGTAAATCGCGGCTCAAGTACCGGACAGATTACCGAAAGCACTTGAGGCTACGACGATAGCCTCCCTTTCAACTCTGGCCAGGCGAAAAAAAGCAGCAACCCAAGACAACTGAAATCGTCAGTAGAATACCCAACAATATTGAGAAGAGTGAAAATTTGGTCAGGGGCGCGTTCATAAACCAGTCTAATTTTGGCGGAGTCTTTTATCAAATGAATGCCTCAGCCTTTTCAAGATAATCTCCAGAAAGTACCCGAGAGTTCAAAGTAATGAAACGAGACGGAATCAGTCGGATCTTTGAGATCACGGTAGGACTGAGGATAACAATACTGCAACATTACTTATGTGTGTGAGTATGGTATAATCAGTACTCAACTTATACATGACAAAAGGCACTGAATCAAACAGGACAAAATGAAAAATGTCTCTTCGTAATAAGAAATACGAAAAACTTTGAAATGCGGAACATAGAAGGGTGTCATATAGTCAGGCATGACACAATCAATCAACTACTAACGGCACAGAATATATGGTCGGTGTCATCTGTTTCGGTTTCATCTAGCATGAGCACGATAAAGTAATAGCCAACAAGTGCAACGGAAATTCAGTCGACGCTAAGTGCATTAAAAGAAGCGGTCAGTCATCGTTTTGCATGCATTTTCCTACTCGTCATCTATGCAGATTCTGTCATCCTTCTCGGGGTCCTTCCCAGCGAATTCAAGGTTCTAAAGACAGCCGTTTAGATGGGTCACAAGACGCGCTGATATGCATTTTATCAACTAAGTCCTGTAGGACGGTGAACAGTTAACAATTTTATAATCTTGTCAAATGAATTATACATTCTCACCGAGAGCAAAAATCCAGGGAATGATAAGTTAAGAAGCAAGCAGAGGATTTATTCGACCGCACTACAGCAAACTTGCAATACTGCCGTTTGCACGAATTCATAAAGGGAGGTGACAACAGGCAGAACTACGTAGTCTTATTTGGAGTGCAATACCTGTCAGTTTTATTTTTATGCAGTTTTGGTGACTTTTATGCACAGGTCTCTGAACTACTTCATCTGTTCAAATCATATTATGCTCTTGTGTTCTAGCCAGTATTTCAATATTTTGTTTTACTTTCGAAACGCAATCTTCGAAATAAGTACAACAAATAATATAAATTTTAAGACACTTTACCGAATGAACTCAATGTCTGTGAACAACAGGAACAACACTTAGGATCATGCTTAGATTAGACCTTATATTCAACCTCTGCCGTTTTGAATTCGATTCTCTGAGGAGCTTGGGGATCGAGAACAGATCAACAGACCTCACTGCCATGACTTAGCAGAATTCAACTGCTACAATGAAGCTTCAAGAAAACACAAACATGTTGTCAATCGAAAACAGAGTCCGAGAGAGCGAAGCAATAACACCGAAGTTATTCACCGCAACTCTAGAACAGGACTGAACATAAATGGGCAATACTTAAGCCATCTGCGGTTTGTGAATGATATCTCAAGGTCAAGGTGATGAACTCCAAAGAAGAATTCTAAAGATGAATGATGCCAGAACCAAAGTAAGACGGCAAATGAACCTGAAGAAAATTCAGGCCATGTTTAACGAATTCGTGACTTCGCGTCAACTGACTTACACTTAAAGGAGCGCAAAACTACGTCTTTCTGAGATATCTCACCTCTACGAATGAGAATGAATTATGCGAAATAAGGAAAGAATAATAATGGCACAGAGGACGTTTGGAAGACTGAAAATGTTCCTATCCGGGATACTGCTAAGGTGTGTGAGACGGAAAGATTTCGATAAATGTGTACTCACAGTGTTAATCTATGAGTGCAAAATGTGGACAGAGCCAGAAAGCTGTTCATAAACTGTAGACAACGCAATGCAGCATCGAAACGTGTACGTTGGGAATAAGAAAAAAAGATACGAGGAAGAATAAATTACTACGAAGACAAACATGAGTCTGGGATGTCATTTCCAAAATGAAGAAGTTAAAGTGGCAATGGGCAAGAAACGCTAGAAGAACCGACCACTGCTGGGCCAGAAAAACATTAGACTGGGCTTCAAGAGAGATAAAACGACTGATAGAAAAACCTCTGATCACAGGCAGAATGAGCTAAAGAAGTTCGCTGGATAAAGAAAGATGAAAATGGCAGAAAACGGAAGTCTTGGAGGCATTCATCCAGAAAGTGGATCAACAGACGCTAATGAGGATGACGATATTCAATCTCGACTATCTGTCCAGGTCCATCTGTTGTCGCTTAATCGTCCTATCTCATCTTGTAGTCAGACATTTCGCGCAGGTCACTCATGAAGTAAACACAGCATTGTTTCAAATCTCCAGTTTACACAAACAGGATTTAGTGGACGATGTTTAGGACACGTAGTAGTGAAGCAGATGATCCCGTTGAGAGCTAATGACTGCAAGAGAGGGTTGGAAAATGAAGCAGTGATTGACGAAGGACAGTCGAGACTGAATGTAAGAATAACATAGAAGCCAAAGTCCAAAACTGTTGTTCCAAAGTACTGTGTACATCATAACGGTGGCAAGTATGAAATTTCAACGGTACCGACTGCCACTAATTTACCACTGAGGTTACCTCGGCATAGATCTGGCGAAGCAAGTCATGAATTCCGTTCACAGTCAAATCACTGTTTAGAACGAACTTCAAAGACGTTGCTGTTTCGAAGTAAGACAGCTTGTAACTGGTCGTCTGAAAGCTCCTAAATGTACACCTGAAAAACGAACGATGAACGACATTTGAACAGGTAGAATGAATGCAGTTACTTGTTGCTAACTGGAGACAGTCGACAGATGAACGAGTTTAACGATACCAGAAGCCCGTACAACAGTTTAAATTCCTGCAAAAGTTATCAACGACGTTAAATACAAAAAGAACTAAAAGGCAGAGACGGACTACGAAGAGGTGAACGCACTTCATTTTTGTTCACCGACGATTCCCTGGTTCGCTTCCATTCCGTGTAGTATATACATGTGCCGCTGCGATCGAATATATATAAATTGTAAATCGCCATTTACGCTAGACCGACATTCGTTCGCTACCAACTTCTGAATCGATTATTGCTGATTGCCAGGTTCACTACAGTAATCACCTTATAACAAAACGTCCTCGTGGGCGTTATAGGGCCCTTCCTACTGTTGTTTACTACGGTGTGGTTAGCGTTATAGGTTTCCCGTTTCCGGAGAGGGTAACTCTCTGGGTTACGGAATAGAATAAACGCGCCCGAACGAGCATACATCGTCTGAAGTTATTTATGAACGCAATGAATGAAGGTTTGTGCTTTGGTCTACATTTTTTTGTTTAAAGCTAATAGTTCACCTGCATTTGTGTATGTTGTTTTTTCCGGACAGGCTCGCGCTCTTTTTACACTAAGCAACTGGTACTGGTTAGTAAGTTTGTTCCCAGGTCTAACTTGCCGTTTTTCCTATTTCAGTTGCAACAAGAAATCAGTTTGCCTCCTGCTGCAGGTTGTTTGTGCCTTGTTGGTTTGAATTCGTTGCCCCCTGTCGAACTGGCGGAAAGAATTCTATTTATCTAGTTGCCAGTTCGTATTCCGTTTACGCCGTTGTTCGAAATTTAGTCTATTCTAAGTCTGAACTCGCTGAGTTTAAATAAACTCACTGCTAGTAAAATTTAAAGCCTTTTAATCGTTGTGGTTCAGCAGCATCTGAATTACCCTGTGAATTGTTTCTGGCACTTGAATGGTATTTTTGGAATTTGTCCTCATCGTTGTGTGTAATAATTCGCCGTTTTCAAATATCAGCAGAGGCATATGAGTATAGTTTAGAAGCGACATTTGCACAGTTCTAATTCTGAGCAATATTGATCGTTTTCTAAGTAGTTTGAATTCTTTCGGTGCTGTTGTCAGGCAAATTTCAAAGTGTTCTAATAAGTTTCTGTGTACATTGGTAAATATAGGAGACATAGACTGCATTTATTAAATGTGGAAACAATGGCATATGGAGCTGAAAAATGGCTTCGGCCATGCTGATTATAGTAGTTGTTCGGTTCTTCCTAAAAACAGTCTTTATGTAAACTAACCTATTCTATAGGTCTCAGATGGGCGCCTGAAACAGTTGTTGAGGAATCCTGTAGTTGTCTGTGATACCGAATTCTGCGCTGATTTTCGAAATATGTAGATGTGCGAACAAGGTTAAGAATTTTACAGAAAAATTTATATATAGGAAG